TGTATGAGAGTTAAATTAAATTTTAATAAAGACAGAGACATGGTCTCACCATTAATATTCAAAAAAAAAAAAAAAATAAATTTTGTTTGGCCTATCTTAGAGCAAGAAAAACTTGAATAAATTTGATAAAAATTTTAAAAAAAATTTTAAAAGTTGTAGAATTAATTTAAAAAATATTTTTATTAAATTTAATAAGTTTGTATTGAGTTAGTATTGTTTAAAGTTTTAAAAAAATCATTATCAAAAAATCTGCTTGTTTCTAATTAATTAAATGTTCCTACTTTGGTTAAAAGTATAATAGATATAATAGATCAAATTTGATCAAGAGAAAGTGTAGAAAGGTTATTGATATTTATTTCATAATATTCCTTTAATGTTTGACTACAAACTGAAACACTTAATATAAATGCTATTTGATTTTTAAATTTTTCATAATTTACCTAATTTAAGACAAACTAATTGCTTGAAATTTTTGAATTCTATAGGAATTTCTATTATTAGTTTTTTATGCAAATCTTTCTCTTTAATTTTAATCCCCAGTTTCCATTGTACATCTTTTATTTTTTTGAAATTTGGTCATTAGCATAGTTTTCTAATCGATCAAAGATGTAGTATCAAAATCATCACTCTTTTTGTCAAATCGGGTTGAATGCATCTTCTAAAAATGATATCTTAAAACCACAGATTTCATTTACAATCTTGTTTCTAAATTTCTTGTATTAATAACAATACTTTTTCATTACTTTTTTACAAATTTCCTCTCGGTTTTTTTCAACAAGAAGTTTCATTCATTTTACTCTTAACTTTTCATATTCACTAGTATTATAAATAATCGTTTGTGTTCTTCTCTTATTTCATTCATTTTTTTGTTTGAATCTTTTTAAAATAAATGAGTTTTTTCTTTCTAAATATATAAAAATTTATTACAACGTAATAATAGAAAAAATTTAATTAAAAAATTTTATATTTAGTCTGTAATTGATTCAATTGCATTAAATTTTTTTTAATAGAAAATTCAATTAAAATTCCGTATACAGCATTATACAATTTGAAAACTAATTCCAATTTTTCAGTGGTAATAGTTTCAGAAATGCTGATATTATCTGATTTTCGTATGGTCTATAAATAATGAGAGACGGTACCCGATCCAAAGTGAATCCTTCTCACCTGTGATCAATCACAAATTAAATTATTTCAATTGTGATGTATTATGTTCAAGATTCTTTTACCATTAACAAACATTATTTCAATTACATTTTTATCATTATTTCGATTATTATCTCTAAAAAATTAAACAACTTCTTGAACAATGCAAAGTTTTTCAATTCAACTGCAAACTAATCATATTGACTTTCATTTTTTCGTTTAATAATAAAAATATGGTTCCTTTACAATCTGTCAACATACTATACAAATAATCCAATATATATATCTATATATATTCACTTAAATATGAGTGTTCAAATTACTTAGCAATTTATCTTTTAGCTGTAATTTCAGTTTCTATAAAAGCTTTAATGCTTTATAATTGAAATTATATTTTCATTAAAAACATCTATATTCCATAAAAGATTTGTAAAATAACATGATTATAACTTACCATTGAATTACAGAAGAGTCGAATTTAGGAGATTGATGACTTGCATCATTATCATCTAAAAGACTTTTGAGAAAAAGGTCATAATTTTCAACAGTGCTACTCATCAAAAATTTTGCTGTAATTCCAGCTCCAACCATAATATTAGCAGGACAGCGTGTTAAATAAAACAATTCTATTAACCTCCAAGTTCCAAGCCAGTACTTTCTCTCCTGTCTTTCTTTTATGTTTAAAATTGATTGCATTTTTTCACATACAAATCCACGCAATGTATTATGAGAAGGAGGCCTTTTCATTTGATGTTCATACTCAGCATTAAGCATTATAATTAAAGAAATGTAAGCTCTTTTGAGGTCATATAGCATTTTTAATCTCTTTTCATCAACTTTATATTTTAAAGAAGTAATTTGATTAAATTGAAAAAGCCATTCTTTTAAATATCTTTCTAATTTTTCAATGTTTGTTGAATATTCGAGTGATGATTGGAATGAAATATTAATTTCAATATCATTTTTATTGAAGAGGTCTTCGAAATTTGTAGTAAGGGAATCTCCAATTGAATTGCTATTTGAGAAGAGTTTATCTCTATTTAATGTCAATTGAGTTAACTGTTTATTCGCGAATTTATTTTTAAGGACTTTTGCTTTGTCTTTTTCAACTTTGGTAATGTTATCTGACATTTTAATTTCAAGTTGGTAATATATTAAAGTTAGTAATATATTACAACAAATAAGAAACAAACAATAGAACTTTTACTGTATAAACTTACCATCTAAATTCAATTTGTCTAAAATGTTAGCCAATTGTGAATTTTCATTTATATTTTGAAAGTTTATAACTTCATCTGAAAAAGTATATTAGTTGCTAAATTTGCGAAGAAAAAACATATACGTAATACTACATGCATACCAGGTTTACGTCTTTTTTTCGATTTCTAATGTAATACAAAATAATTTTAATGAAGTGTTTTTTCTCTTTTACCAAAGTCTCCCTTTTAAATTTTGTTTGAATAATTAAATTATATTTAATTATTAACCTTAATCATTTCATACCTTATTATCTTGAGTGCCTCCATTTTTATAGGCTTCAAGTTGTGACGATGTTTCAAACTAAATTCAGTTATAAGATAAATTAATTGATTCAAATCTAAATTTGGTAAAAAAAGTTTTTATATATATAAGCTTACCGGATTACTACATTCATCAGCCTCATTACTTTCACCCTAGATTAAAGATTCAAGTATTTATGATAAATTAATTTATTTTTCAACAATATTTCATTAATCCCAGATGAGAAACCATCTACAACAGTTTCTTTTTAATGATACGTAATAATCCAGCAATCGCAAAATTGGTTAAATAGATAGCGATATACGTATTGATAATTGCAAAGTCTATACAAATATACTGTGTACTAGATAATAAATTATGATATAAAACAATTCTTACCTGATGAGCATTAACATACTTTTGATTCTCAATTTCAGAATCACTTTTATTCGATTCTTCAGTTGATTCATCCTGAACTAAATTTTTAAGTTTCCTTTTTTTTGATTTCTTTTTTTAAAAAAAAATTTTATAAGCAAAAAAATTGTCATTGTTAGAAAAATTTAAAGTTAACTAAATTTTCTTACTTGGTTATTACTACGCAGAAAGTCAGTATCACCCGTAGCGGTAGGAAGTGAATCATTAGATTGTTCTATAAAGTTTGCACTTAAGCTATTCTTTTGTTTGAAATTTTATTATTGATGATGTTAATATCATAACATTTAACAGTGTCACCAAACAATATTTTTGCAGAGATAAAAAACATTTCATACTGTATCGACACTTTCAATTAGGACATATGGATATTGCCGGATATCATTTTCTGTTTCATATGTATGCTAAATAATAAAAATAGTTAAACATCTTACTTACCAAATTTACCATTGAAAATATCGACTTAAAATACCTGATAATCCATAAATACATCGGACAGATTTCCTTCAGTAATATTTTGCGGTGGGGTAGATGGCACTTGACTATTAATAATTGATGAACTTGCAAGTACATCCTTACGATAATGAAAGAAATAAGTGAATATATGTATAAAAAAAGAAAAAAAAAGTAAGTTAATAATAACGCCACCAACATTTCTATTGCTTGTTTCAGCATTAACAATTTTAGGATATGAAAGGTTTGATTTTTTACTAGGATCGTGGCTTTGGGTTACAGTCGGCTTCTTGAAATTTTTTCATTAGTATGTAATAATTATTAATAAAACTAACTCATTTATAATGTTTACCAATATTTCGATAACACTAGGTAAGGAATCATCTGTCAAATCTGAAGGAACACGTTCTATGGAACCGTAGACTGATTCATTATTTACCTTTAATTAATTTGAAATAGTTTAGAGATATTGCAATTAACTATAACTAACATCATGTTAATATTTATTCACCTTATTGACTTGTCTACTTTTGGTCTCATTGTTTTCAATTTTCTTAGCATTAAAATTTTTATTGATTTTGGATTGGTACTTTTTGTTGGAATTTCTTTTCGCCAACCTTGAAGCCAACACATCAAAAATAAGTTCATCGACTTCTTCAGATGAGTCAGAATACTCGTCAGATCGTGAGTTATTGCATTATAATGATTCCTTTTTGAATTTTAATTATTATGATTATAAACGATAAAATTAAAACCATTTTCCAATTTTAATATATTTAGATTAAAATTAATGATTCAATTAGTAATTCTTCTAAACAAGTTTTACTAAAAATTATATCTATAGTAAGTTGCTAGATAAATTTAATACATACATCACTTTCTTTCTGGTTTAAAGGTTGGGCTACGGAAATAGAAGCATCTGAATCATCTGAAAAATTTGCATTTTTATTGGTGCTGTCTTCCTCTATATCAAAACTTGAATTTTGTGCACCGCTTTCTTTTGTAGTGTTCAATTGCGAATTATTAGTGGATTGTTCCTAAGATTTTCCATGATAGGATTACTAATAATCCTTTTGATTTGGTTTGAAAACTTGTTTGTAAATTTGGTATTCACAGCAATTTACCTGAACACTAGACTCCAAAACTTGGATTTCATTTCCTAAATCCATTTCGATTGAATCAGATGATTGGTCCTAAAAATTTATTTTTGTTACTAAATATGATATATAACTTATATAAAGTTACTATACAAATTTTAATACTTACACCACTTTCTTTATGATTTAAAGGTGAGGCTACAGAATCCAAACCTTTAATTTCATTTTTCTGATCCTTCTCGACAGCATTAGACAATTGAACCTAAAAATTAGTACTAAATGTCAATCTTAAATTGTTAAATTTCTAATACATACACCATGTTCTTCATAGTTGAGTTGGGGTCCACTTTCTTGAATTTCTTCTGTGTTCAATTGTAAATCCTAAAGATTTTCCATATTAGGGCAAAATTAAAAAAAAAGCAACATAAAATACGTATATACTTCATCGTCAATTGTAATTGGAGCTTCATTCTGTTCCGTAAGCCTTAAGATCTTTAAGTAATTCTCTCTGCTGAGAAGCACCACATTTGGTGCGTCTAAATGTAATGTTTTGGAAGTTTCATTATTTAAAAAAAAGGTACCGGAAAATAATAGATTTGTATTAAAAGTAGCAGTGGTTATTCTGCCTTCGGTAGCCTTCCAAATAATATTAAAGGAATTTTTTATGAGTTCGTCTTTATCATCCACCGTCTCAATCATTTTTTTGACAATTTTTTTAGAAATGAGAAATATGAATATACAAATATTAGTGAACGATCACATTTATGAATGTTTCTTTAATGATGTGATTGTATTTTTGACTGATTTTTAATATGACTAACTTTAATGATTAGATACGTCACTCTGATCATATTTAATGACTAATAGTTAAATTTATAAATTATTAATAATCTGTAACTTCTCAAAAATTATATCATTTTAATCTTTATAATATTATTAAAAAGTTTTTTTAAATTTATTTTACTATAATTTAAGGGACTGCTATTCGCACCATAGAAAATTACTATTCGCACCATGATTCGGCTATGTCACAATCTCGTACTCCCATGCTTACGTGTAACTGGTGAATAACCAATAGAATTTTGCATTACGATAAAATTTTTTTCATTGTTAAAATTTTTGTACAGTACGCATATAAAACTTTTACATATTAGCGTTAGTATAGACCTTTCACATATTAGCGTTAGTATAAAGAACCTTTTACTTATTACTAGCTCTCAGGCCCAGGCGATGCTCCGGGAGCTAGGTCTTAAGTTGTTTAACTCTTAGGCCTAGGTGATATAATAAAGCTAGTTTTAGTTATTAAGTTTTTTAGAGTTAATTTATTGTATTTAGCTCTCAGGCCTGGGCGATGCCCCAGGAGTTAGGTCTTAAGTTGTTTAACTCTTAGGCTTAGGTGATATAATAAAGCTAGTTTTAGTTATTAAGTTTTTTAGTATTTAATTTATTGTTTTAGCTCTCAGGGCCGAGCGATGCTTTGGAGCTAGTTCCTAAGTTGTTTACCTCTTAGGCACAGTAATGTTCTAAAATCTAGATTTAGAATTTTTTTTTTTTTTTTTTTTTTTTTTTAAAGAGTGAGGCCTGGCCTAGATTTAGAATTTTTATATGTGAAATAATGTAAATTTATATGCAGAACAAAATTACTTAGAGATGAAAGATAGGTTTAATTAGTAATATTTTGAAGATCATAAGATTTTCTATATTTTTATTAGTAAAATTAATGTAAATTTTGAAATTCTTGAAATTTTACTAATTAAATCAATTTTATACATTAAGTATCTGATTCTACATATAAAATTACATTATTTTGACATATTAAATATTATAGATTTTAAATATTAAGAAAAGATATCAAATTTTGTATCACTAATAGATTTTAAGAACCTTTCGAATATTCAAGAAACTTTAAAGAATTCAGCACTTCGTGACATTATAATTTCTGTTGCTTTAACATTTTTGCTATATCTTTTTTCATCCTTTATTTATTTTGAACCGTGGCACATGTTCAGCTGTTTAGTTCAATACTAAATTGTTTAGAACAAATTTTTTTCTTTCATGGATATTTACAAATAGTTTAATAATTTTTTTATTTACATCAAATGCTTTTGCAAAATATTTTTCAACTCACGATTATAATCCTTATTTGGTTTTTGGTATTTTTTAGAGTCTTTGTTAAGTAATTTGGCTAGATAGTTTTACTTAATATCCTTATTAAAGATAATTAAAATAATAAATGATCTTATCAACAAACAGATCAGTGATAAATGATTTTGGGCGATATTCTAAAAGATTGACAACATTTTTTGTGATGGATCTTTGGATCTTTCCAGTAAACACCGCTCGTTCTCTGAAGCGCTATCATATATCTTTTTTGATAGTTTTAACTTATCCTTTTGATCTTTTTCGATGTTTACCCTCCGTTTATAAATATGAAAAAGATTTTTTATATGATTGAGCAGTCGCAAATGTATTCCATTATATCATTGGGTTTGTGTTGTTTTCTTATACGCATTATAAATATGTGATATGGTTCGTATTCAACTAAATACTTTCATTTTTATTAAGCAGACAAATATTAGCATTGATGATAGCCTTTCTGATATCTTCCCTGTGATCGATGGAAATAATTCATATATTGAATTGATTATTTCAATTTTCTCAATATCATATCTTGACAAAAGATCGATTTCCTTATACAAATTTTTTTAGTTCTTCTATGAAAAAATCATCTCTTTTACAATTGCACACTTTTTCTATCTATATAACTAGAAATGAATTACAAACTAAAAGTTTATTCAAAAACAAGAAAGTAGTTTATATACAATTTTTAAAATTTGACAAGATTCACTGATCTTGTGACAAGAAACGTAACACAGTATTGTGATTTGATTTAAATTCAGTGAATATCTGATTTAAAATAAAAATAGATATTCAAATGGATTTTGGGTCACATAGCTTATAGTTATCGGTTATCGTTATTCATTAACATATTTAGTTATTAATACAGAAAAATAATCATACGAAAAGATAGCAAAACTCTTTCTCGTAGATCTCAAATTCATAGTAAACAAACAAAACACGGCAAAGAGCAAACCCTTTGAAATAGATATACAATAACTAAATAACTATTCTGGTAAACAACTCTTTAACAACAGGCAACACACCAAAATTAAACAGAAAAGAGAAACAGCTCTCGACACTCCAGTCTCTTTCCTAACTTTGTTGCTGACTAAGTGGCAACGGACGAAAACAACAACAAAAACAAAAAAAAGTTCATAACGGGTCCCCAAGAGAAAAAAACACGCCCTGTATACATTACTATAGAAAACTACAACCTGATGGATGAAGAGACAAAAAAAGAAAACGCGAAACTACTGATAACAATACCACTTCACCACTACCTATTATCGATAACAATACTTCAAAAAAAAATCCTGGAGAATTAGCAAATCCTAGCTTACCCCCGACTCTAACAGAAATGACGTCATCACCCAAAACAACAACAAACCCGATCCAGAACCGAGCACAAACTTCGTTGCATAATTTTCCCACAGATAAACAAACTGAGGGGACCCCGACCCAAAACAATACCATTTCTGATACAGTGCCCCCTGCAAGAACAAAACTCGAGTTCAACCAACTGATAAACGACATACCTAATATGGAAATAGACCAGAACATGATCAACCCGATTAGTGAAGAAACTGATGAAACACGCTCTATTGATACAGTATTAGATGAACAGCCACAAACAAAAATATCTTATAGCCAAGCAGTCAACAGGAATCTCTCAAATCAAACCAGAAAAATCCCAAATAGATACTACAACAGTGACAAAGAAAAACAATGGCAAGAATGCACCCAGCTAGCCTTAAAAGAGATTAGACAGGAAAAACTTGAACCTTTCGATACAACAATCTGGACCCGCTCGAAACTTAAAGACGCTCTAACCTCACTTCAAGATCTTAAAAAACTAGTTAAATACAAGCTTACAACAAAATCTACAGCCAACTACATCCCAACTGCAATAACTGCAAAATTTTTTCATCGGGATACAGCCTTTTTTAGAAGCTTTACTCGAGTCTTAGTAGCCAGACCACAACATCAAAACGAATTTAACAACCTTTTCCTCAAAGCACTAGACGCTTACAAAAAACAACACGACGTGCTAGCTACAAATAAAAAAAACCGAGACCAAATCTTTGAACTACTCCGGGTTAAACTAGCTCTGGACTACCTAACCAACCTAGATTTCAATACCCTAAACGCATGGGAAATTACTAGATATATCTTCTACTTAGCAGGCTTCGCAAAGATACAAAAAAACCTTGATTTTGCAACAACACGGCTAGCAATTGCAAACCTTATGACAAACACACTAATACCCCTACCGGCTGAACCAAAACTTATTCCAGAATACTTGCAGAAAGCAATTCCTTTTAGTCTACCAATTACAAACAGACAACTCACTGCACCAGTCGTTCGAACCCTACGATTAATTTTCTCCTTTGATAGAATGCCAGAGACATATATTGCGGATCCTAGAGTACCTCTACCTACCTCCTATAGAGAACTAAGAGATAAAGTACGATACCTTTTTCCAATCACAAATAGAGCAGACTTGCAAAAATTAGGCCACTATAGAGAACTATTACAGAAGTTCTACCTGTTTAGACAAATCCCACCTGCATACTTTGACCTCCCTCCTCCCAAACAACCCTTACCTTGCACTCCGCAAGACCTAACCCCAAGATTAAGGAAAAAATTTTCCTTCCTGCCTAAAAACCAGGAAGATTTTAGAGAGCATATTAGACTATTACGACTAGACTACTCCTTTACCAGATTGCCCAATGATTACATCATCTCTCTCAAACGTCTCCCTCTGGACCCAACACAACTAAAAATGGCAAATCTTACCTTCCCACTTCAAAACAAAGAAGAAGTAGATACCTTTATTAAAAATATCCCACCGATCTACAGTATCCCAACACCACTACCAAAAACTTATTGCGACTTCAACTATACAGACCTCCCAGACCTACCAGAAGATGCTAAACTAGTAACTCATGTTAATTTGACAATACCAATCTCAACCTCCAAAGAACTAAGTATCGCAGCTAAAGCACTATATGAACACTACTATTTTCATACAATACTCCAATCTTGGATCAATATAGAAAAAAAAAAGAAACCAGAACCAGAAACAAACCAGACTAAATTACCTCCAACAGTTGAACAACTCCAAGCAGCCCTCTTAGAAAAAGGGATCACTGATATAAACGTACCTATAAAAAAACACCATAATATCCCTCGAGTCTTGAAAATACTTCTAGAACACTTTGCCTACCATACTGTACCCGATTATATCTTTGACCTGATAGACCTACCAGAACCATCCTTTGATATTTTTGACAAACAAGAAATAACAGAGACAACAACAAACCTACAGGAAGTATCCACAACAACAGACACACAAATGACAGAAGCAGAATGGAACCTAAACACTACTGACCAATGAGTACACAACTCTATACAAAACCTCTGCCTTCGACAGAAGAAGAAGATATAACCAAACAAGTCAAACTAGATATAAACTATAGAATTAACACAGCCACATACAACATAAGAGGGTTCAATGAACCTCTAAAAATACAAACCTGGATCGAATATTGCTTAGAAAAAAATTTACATCTAATCTC